CAGCCCTCTGCTGGTGAATTGAGGGAAACAGACAAAATGATTGAAACACTATTTTATCAACAATACATAATTATTTCATATTATATGTGGCCACATGAAATTCCAGAGGTCTGTGGTACACTGGAAAGGAGGGTAAACCCCTAATTTGAAACAAAATGTCCCAAATATGTATTGAAGATTTTGATGATTTTAGGTGCCCTCCTTCACAATGGTGGCACCTTCTCTCCTCTTTGTTTGCTCAAGAATTTGTGTAGGGTCTTTCCTAATTGCACATTCTGAAGCTTTCTAGCTAAAAAAAACTCTGTTTAAAATGGGCAAGTCATTGAGCCCAAAATTCACTTTTTAAATATGTGAAGTTTGGATGCCAAATCCACAGCAGATCCAAAGACACCTCCTGAAATTCCTGCCAGTGTTACTAACAGGAATGGCTTTTAGTTGCAGTCACTGAGGCTGTAAGGGCTCTACAGTCAATGCTGACCTTACAGATGCTCGTGTTATTTTGTTAACGTGATTTGCCCTAAGATACATCCTTTGAAACAGGTACACATGGAATTATCAGCCTGTGAACTGCCCTTTTCCACCCACTAGAAACCATCAAGTATCTTGGACATGGGGAAGATGAACTGGCGGCTATCCTCTTAAAGTAACCTCAAGAGAAGATGAGGATGTCATTGCAAACTTGTGGTAAAAAACCAAGTTTTCCCATTGTCAGCATGCAAAATAGGCACAGGACAACAGGCACCATGATTTTTCTGCAGTCAGGTTGGCAAATCCTTGAATGTGAAGAAAATGAAAGCCAGTGTGTTCCAAAGAACCCTTAATTAACTAAGGGTTATAAAGCTGAGATTTAGAGAGCTGACTCCTCAAAGAGACAGAAGCAGCACAGAGCCTTGAACAGAACATGAAACTTCAGTATTAGAACAGGTAAAATGGATTTCTCTAATAAAATAAGTTTTTCCAGTACAGCCTCTTTTCTCAAGCAGTGTCTTTGTCCCAAAGAAAATAAGAGAATTCTGCCACATGTACTGCAAATGAAAAAATGAGAACATTCCCATTAGTCACCAACCAACATTTTCCTCCACCATAATCCCAAAGTGGCTTTTAATCAATTCCCTAGAGATAAAAAGATCAGATGTTATTTCTACCATCACATTATCACTGATGATTGTGTTCCTAGGTTAGACATTAGAGCCAAAGTGGGGTATCCTAAGAGTTTGTACATTTGCCCTTCAGTACCACAATTCCTGTCATTTCCTGTCTACCACCTTAAAGTTCTGCTAAAGATACACAAAGCATGGAAGCAAATAATGGAACACTGCATAAGGGGGCATTTCAACCATGTATAGGCAAATAAAGACAATACCAGAGCTGTGTGGGTGCAACAACTAACAAGGGTATAACTAATAAAAAAAAATATTCCAGAATGAAGTCAATTCACTGCAGCTAAATCACTGCAGATAGAACCAAGGTGACCTAATGAAATAATCTCATGACATCCAGTCCATATACAAGGAACCTTCTCACATTGATTCTTGCCTAATTTTCCAAGCTTTTCAAGACAAGGGACATCTGATGTCTTAGTCACTAGAAGGTGAGACGTCATCAGAGAACCTCTTGCAGTAATCAGAACAATCAAAAAAGCAATATAATTTTAGACATACCTTTCTTCAGAGAGTTCCCAACAGTACTCACATGCAGTATAAAAATAGGCTTTATTAAGCTCTTCAGGAGCCAAAAGCCTCTGTTCCTTGAAGAGGCCATATGCCACCAGCAAACAGAGGTTTAGGGCTCCCAAGGCATTTTCTGGATTTTCTGGCGTTTCCCAGGGAGCTGAGATCCAGAAAATGCTGCCTCTTATTCATGCAAGAGCATAACTTTTGGAGATACAGAAGCAAGCACTGGATCCTGAGCTCAGTGAGAGCTTCAAAACAGAGCAGCTCTTGTTCAGAGCTTGTTCTTGTTTCTGTGGATTGTGAGCCCTGGGACTGAACCAAACAGAAATCAGTGTAGTTCAAAAAAACCTCAGCATGACTAAGGCAAGATCTTTAGGCCAGCCTGTAAGGATTGGTACCTGACATCCGGTGCTCAGTAGGAGCAGTGAACCAGAGGTCCCTCCCTATTTCAGGGACAAACAATTCCCAAAGCCAACCTGTCCCTGATGCCTGAAGGAAGTCCATGAGGACAGTTTTAACATTCTTATTCCCAGGAGAAGTAGCAAAAGAAAGATATTAAATTCTTTCCAGTCACTGAGTTTCCACATTTGTAGCGACATTGCCCATAAAGAAGGAGATTGATGGCATTTCCAGGGAGGTGACAGCAGAATGGGCAGTTGGAAAGTAAGAGATTTACTTACAATAGCAGCAACTCACAAACAATTTTTAAAAAGCTAGCAAACAAAGATGTAAGTCCATAAAGGAAACAGGCGTGTTTGTATGTATGCCTGCTGCAGATTGTGTTTTCCTTAAGGCCATGACACAATCCTTTGTGTGAGCTACGTGGTGAGGTGTTAAAGGAAAACACAAAAAGAAAACCAAATGCTCTATCTCTTCACCAAAATGAACACACCCAAAACACTCTTAGCTCCTAGATCCAAATATAAGACAGATTTTCAAAGCCTTTCAAGCACTATCTGCATTATTCAAAAAGGCAAATACTCACACTGAAGAATAAATAGGGAGAGGTTATCTTCTTCCTAAAGTAATAACAAAGACTGTCCTGTTTGTAATATTTTTACTACAGAAAACCAAAAATTACTAATAAAAACTATCACTTTTACTGGCAACATTCACAGACCCACTTGATTCTTTCCAGTAGAAAAATTAATTAGGAACTTTTACATGCTTTTATTGACACCAGCTCCAAGATGTATCTCTTGGGAATGAGCTTGGTCTGCTAGGGATATAGGATCTAATCTGGGAGCTGGTAATTCCAGTCATCACATTAAAGCTCCTCACTCACTATCACAGAGCAAACCTCACCTGCAGACACATAGCTTTTATGTCTGCATGCATACATTTATGTTTACATACATATTTATATATAAATATATATTTTTTACATATATACACAGACACATAGACAAATGCAAACGCAGTTTTGGAAAGAAATCTTGTGTCTCAAACACAAAGACTGTCTCACCATAAATACCATTCTGAGATCTCATTTGCAGTTACCTCTATCACAAACATGCAGAACTGCAGTTCTTTCTGGCTCGATTTTGCTGGGATGCCATGGCAAGTGGTAAAGGCTCTGCTGCCACCCAATGACGTTTCCTGGGATTGCTCCTTTCCCAAGACCCTTTTCTCCTACTCTACAACCAGGTTAAAAAAAAAATCAGGTTAAATTAAAGGCAGCACTTAGAGCTGGAGCACTTTACATACCTGTGGTGCCTTGACCTCTGGGAAACACAGGACATCACCACCTCACCTGTATGCAAATGGCCCCAGTCCTTTTCATCATTCCGCCAACAGCGGCAAAACTTTATCTGGATTCCCAGTCACAAAACCATCATTGTGCCGTGGCAGTTAATTTTTACTGGTTTACAATGTGCTTTCCTGTGCACAAGAGATAATTCCAGCTAAGCACAGCAGACCTTTCACACAGCTGTTACTAGGCTTTATAGGCCATCAAAGCGTTGATTTCGCAGCGCTGTGTCAATGCCAGACACGCTGACTCCCCGCGCTGCTTTCATTGCTCAGTTCCTTTCTTCACCCTCCTGACAAAGCACAATTTGTTTTAGCCCTTACTACTACATCTAAATTTAGTTTGCAATGCTGTATAAACACAAGTGGTAGCCTGTCAGGTTTAAGTGAAAAAGGAGAAATGCTGTAACGTGGGTCTTTAGGTTCACCCCACCTATAATTAAGTCCTCAAAAGTTTGAACACTTCAGCTTTCCTTGCAGTAAAAATAGACATTTGTATGGTGTCAGTTTAAGGCAATCTAAGAAACTAGGCAAGTAATTTTTGTCAATATATATTTGCACACAAGAACAAGCTGCTCAGTTCTGAAGAACCTGTCCAGAAATCTAGGGCAATAACATGTGCATCTGCTCAAATTAGCCTAATTTAACATTTGTCAGCCCAGAGTATACAATGACTTACTTTAAAATGTGGTTTACACTTTCAGTTATCAGCTTGAGCTGATATAAAAGACCCCGACTGCTCGGGGTGAATGATCAGTTGAGAGTTTATTGTCACAGAGGAACCACGATTACAGGTTTAAAAGAAGGAATAAACCCAGCAGTGCTTGGTTTATTTTCACCTATTTCATTACTATTCTTATTTTGGCACACAACATGTAGTAGGATGTTCCTCTCACCAGAACATACAGGTTGTAGAATAATACACTAAAAACCAAAAGGAAGGAAGAACTAACTTCTTTGCCAATAAATATCTACAAGAATATTTGATCACTGCATTAAAAGATAGAAGTTATTTCCAAAACATTCTGTCCACTGCTGTTCTCTGGGATTCTCAAAGATCAGAGATTGTTTTGAGGCTCATTAACAGTTAATGGTATTTAACTATGAGGCAAAAAAACCTTGGATCTGGCACTTTGTAAGAAGTGCCACTTTCTTACCCTTACATTTTCATACTCCAAGCACAGAGCAGAAGGGTTACAGATACAAATATCTTGGTACAAACAGATGCATATTACTGATAATTTACTGCCTCAAAACATACCTTTTTATGTTTTGCCATTAAAAAACAAAACCTGATTGTATTCCAACCCCCTTGATTCAGGCCCCAGCCCTTAACTATGCTGAGAATGTTCCATTAAGTACATCCAGAAGTGCTGATCACACAGCCCAGCCTGCACCGTCAGTGTAAAACGGGGGCTTGAACTCCCTCTGCTGGCTAAAACTACTGCTAAGGAATAAAAAAAAAAAAACAAAACCTCTCACGTCCAAAGATTGGAAAAGTACATTAAAAACTTTTTAAAAATAAATATAATCTTTATCTCTTCTTTAGAGATTTTCATCTTTTTAGTTGTTGGCATCTCAAAGCAATCTTGCAGTACCTGAAAGGAAAACTCCTGACCTCCACTGTTTGTTGCTCCCATGAAAGACTGGTCTGTGACTGGGAAGCTCTGCAGATGAGTCCTGCACAATTTCCTTCTTAAGCACTGCCAATAGATCACAGAGGACAGTAACTGTGATGAAACACCACCCAGTCTGTACAAAAAAGAGGGAGAACAGCTGGAAAAAATACACCATCAGAGTAGCAAATTAAAATGTATTTTGAGAAGGACCAAAATTACAACTTTAGGTCAAATTTACTGAGGAGAAAGGTCTACTTGAGATAACAGTGGCAAACAGGGTTCAGTCCCCAGTCCTAGGAGAATTTTTTGTGATCCAAGTCATTTTTGCTTAGTTTCTTCCCTGGAAAGTGTTCCTCCTCTTGATTTATCTCAATTTCCAGAGAGAGGATTTCTGCCCCAAGGAACCTACAAAGCAGACTCTGTGCCTTCTGTGATAGGTCAGATAATCCATTTTTTAAAAACTCTTCCAAAATTATTTTGAGAGCATTGTGTCTGACCTACCACCACCTTGCATGGGAGTATTCATCCTTACATCACAATTAAGCAGCCAAGAAGATATTGTACAGTCAGAAGGACTGTAACAACAACCCTATAAAATGACCTGAAGCATAAATGGCAAAGCAGCCTTTGCTGGTCAGAGGGTTCCACTAACCCCACTGGTAAGCCCTGCACAAATGGCAATATTTAACACATATTCTAGTATTTAACACGTGGTCTACTTAAGCCTGATCACCACCACAAGTGGGATTGAAACATGCATTGATGAGTCACAAACTTTTCAATCCAAACCTCCATCTTGTGGTATTTGCTGGGTCCCCAGGATGAAGGAGGAATTAAGAATCTGACTCCATGTTCTCAGAAGGCATATTATATTATATCATGCTATACTAAAACTATACTAAAGAATAGAGAAAGGATACAGATATAAGGTTACAAAGAATGATAATGAAAACTCTTAACTGCTTCTAGAGTCCCAACACAGCCCGACTGTGATTGGTTATAAGTTAAAACAATTCACATGAAACCAATCAAACAACCTGTTTGGATAAACAATCTCCAACCACATTCCAAAGCAGCAAAACACAGGAGAAACAATCAGATAATTATTCTTTTCATTCTTCTCTGAGGCTTCTCAGCTTCCCAGGAGAAGAAATCCTGGCAAAGGGATTTTTCAGAAGATATGCCAGTGACACCGTCTTATCTCTGTGGGATTGGGATTTAATTCAGCTTTTCCTCATTTAATGAACTAGATGTGGTCCTCCCCCAAACACATGGTCATGAGTGTCTGGTGAAAAGCCAGGTAGCACCTCTCTCTGCAGATTAGAAACAACACACATGACAATTCACTGAAGAACTGCATGTGAAGTGCCTCAGACCTACCTTTCACAAGCACACCCATACAATGCATGTGTGTTGCAGCCTGAGTAGCAGCTGGTAAAGTCCAGGGTAAATAAGCAAAAAGAGCCTTTGCATGGTACCCACAGCTGTTTTATTCAGCTGTCTGGTAAGATGTTCAGGTCCAAGGAACACACACAGAGGGTCCAGGTTTCTCTCTCCTGAGGGGCCAGGGGTGAACCTGATCTCTGGGCAGTACCAAGATGAGATCCAATCAGGGAATAGGGAGGGATGGCTCAGGGACATAGGAACAGAGAAAGGAGCCAATGGGGTCAAACAGCTTTGAGGGGAGCTTCTTGTGTCTCCCTAACTCAGGGGATGCTCCCCAGGGTCCCCACACATGTGAGCCTCAGAATATTTAAGCCTGAACCCAAGCTTTCCTCATACCTCACTTTTCCATGTCTACACAATTAGGAAGTAGAGGATCCTGTTTTACACATCTCCAGAGGACTGCATCAGGGTCACTCAGGAGATGAGAAGAGAACCAAGGGCTTTGGAAAATGTCAGAGGCAAAAGTTAATAGTCACTGTGGAGGGTCTTAAATAAGCAGATGTTTCAAACATGTGCCTAATTTTAAAGTGCTCAGTTTGATGGCAATAGATATTACAGTGGGCACCAACCCAAGACAGAGCTCAGAAGGAAAGGCTAGTGGACAAAACAGGAAGAAAAGCAGAGCATGAAAAAACATTTTTTCACATGCTCTCTTAGTCTGTGTAATCTACCCTAGAGAGGCCTCAGCAAGCAAGTTAACTTCAGACCTCAATTACAACACGTGGGCAACTTTATTGCCCAACAAAATGTCCATTAGACATTTATAATCTCATTTTATTAAATTTTCCTACTCGTGATATTTACTATGGGGTGTGTATGTGTGTGAGGTTAATACAAAAATCCATATTATATTTGTATATTAACAAGATTAAAAGCTCACCTGTGTGGCAGGTGTTGCTGTGGGCACATGCTTGGGATTATGGATTAACCAATTCCTATCAAAAACTGGGGTCTATCACCAAATCTAAAGCAAGGAAGGCAGGTGCTTTTCTTCCTGCTCATCTAGCTGAGGGCTCTGATAGAATTACATCAGGAAAGAACAGCTTTGCTTCCTTCATGGAATCTGATTACAGAAAGAGAGGGGTGACACCTCACACAAGGCAGTGAAGCTTAAAGGACAGCCTGTTCCTCTCTGGCCCCTTCTGCTGGCTACTTTGATCTAACTTTTATTGTCTGGGCTTAACACCTTCACCTTTGATTTCACAGGGACCTTCTTTGGAGGCATTTTCCTACTGCAATTGTCCAAGTCTTTTCAGAGAAACCACCAATTATCCAGGATGCTGGGAACTGAACACTTGTAGTTTTGATGAAATACAAGATTACTCTCACTGGTATTAAACAGGTAAGGGAAGACACAATAAAGACTCAAGTTTTACTTTCTAAGAGCAGTACTTATTAAAAAAAAAAAACCAAAACAAAAAAAGAGAACTGTCAGCAGGTCAGCACATCATGTGAGGAACCAATTCACTCCTAAGGGCAAGGAGACCTAACATAATAACACAGTAGGGGCCAGACTGGCTTCCCAGCTCACTCTAGAAGGATGCTCCTTGTACAAGGCCATTGTTACACCACCACCCAGCTCAATTGTATAGTGTTACAGTTTTGCAGCAGACACAAAACAGCAGTTCTTTCCTGGGAGCTAACAAATCCAGTCTACTTTTGGCCAGAAACCTACACAATAACTCGAATTTTAAGCATAAAAATCAAAATCCCTTCTGATCTTACCTAATGTGACAGGCTGTGTAACACAGTCCTTACAATTAAATTGCAATTTCTGCATCCAGTCCAGCAACCTGTGGATGTATTAGAGGTAGTATTTCACCTTACACAGACACACACACCCCTGCTACACAGCAGAACTTGGTCTAGAAAATGCACTCAGTTTTCTATTTTGACATGAATCTCTACCCTCTTAAATGCTGATGATCCTTTGTCACTGAGACTGCAGAGAGCAATTGGCCTCCTGAGCAGTTTTCCAAATTCAGTATGATGTTGCAAGTGCTCAACAACTCTGAAAAAGACTGTTTACTCACCTTCAAGAACAAAATACAAAAAGTACAAAGTAAGATAAGGCAAAAAGCATTTTTGAAATGTGTTTCAGGCCCGACAGAAGGCTGGAGCTGGTGCTTAGGACGGTCTGTATTCCTCTAGTTTTTACAGCTCTAGTAATCCTCTAGTCATCTGTATTTCCTCTAGTTTTTACAGCTGAAGTAGTGACTTAATAACTATCTACTAACTATCTATTAGCTATTAACTATAACTAACTATCTAAGAATCTATCAGTTTACTTACACTTACCAAACTTCTAGACACGTGCTAACCTCAGCTCATCCCTACAAAATAATTATAAATAAGATGGCAAACCAGCTATAGTTCTCCCTCCTCTTTGGATAAGATAGGAAATGAGTAGATTTAGAAGTTTAGAGGTTCTAGGATTTTTTTTTAACTTTTAAGCAAAGTAAAAAAGTTATATACAAAAACAGGCAGCAACAAAATTATAAACCAATTGATGTGGAAAAGTCAACATCATCTCCTAAGCATGCAACTGAAGCTCACAGCTGGTGCAAAAACAAGAAAAAAAAAAAGAAAAAACTAAAAAAAGAAGGCAGCATTGTGTGCTAGCAAAGGCAGTAAGCAGGGACTGCAGGTTTTATTCTTAACTCTCCCACGGATTTCAAGCTTGGCTGTGGGCAGATCACCAAATATCTCAGCTGATCATCTAAAAAATAAGGATAGCAATATTTTCCTATCCCAACAGGATGTTTTCAGAAGAGTGCTTGGGAGGCACTCACTGCAGTGATGGGGTCCATGAAAGTCTCTGCACAGAACAAAGACAACACCTGCTCCACTGGTTAGTGGGAAAAAGATGACTGAGACTGTTACAAGGAATTTCTAGCATTAAAGGACAAGCTACATTTGCCTCTGGCCTACAGTTAAGAAATTCAGCATCAGTGAACCATTCTTTATACAACTACTGTGGGAAAATTGAAGCATAGGACTAGACAAGAAAATAATGCAAATAAACTACATCAATGGCTGGAATTCCATATCAAAGGCAACATTTAGGTTTTCTCTTATAGTGGGGTAACATATATTGTTCATGACAAAAATATTCTTTTGCTTCCTTTGGCAAACAAGTTCATAGCTGATGGAGGTAAATGCATACCACAGTTTTTCCCCAAGGATTGCAACAACTTTAGTTAACTAAGACACTTTTGAAAAGCATTTCTTATGCCTTGTGATTCCATCTTATACATATTCTTCTCATATTCTCTGTGGGACATAATGATAGGTGGCTCTTCCAGTGGCTTGCGGGATATATCCCCATGTACTTAGTATTTGAAAAATGCCAGCTCAGCCTTGAGGTTTGGTTTTTTTTTCTGACCATCTTCTTTCACTTTATGCTGGGAAAATTGTAGCTCTACAAATATAGAGGAGGTTTTGAGTTCATAATGAAATATGAACTTTAAGGAAGTCTGATGATCTGGTGTTTATTCCTGAATTAGCAATAGATTTCCTATGACCTTAAATTCATCACTTAGATACTTCATGATCTATTTCATCTTTTAAAAAAGAGTGTATATCTGCAGAAAAGAAATCAAGAAAGGCTTTGGATTCTACTCTGCCTTGGATCCAGG